ATAGGGACCAACCAGCAGGGGGAGTCCACGTGTTGTATATAGTATATATTTGTCATTGATGGCTGCTTTAAGAGGCGTAATATTAGCGTGATGATGTAGATATATTAGAAAGACAGCCATCCAATCCATAGCTCCGCCCTGAAGAAGCCCTGAAGAAGCCCCAGTCAGTGGGAAGGATGAAACATGTAGGTGGAAGGGACCACATCCTCCTCCCACGTAGGATCCCCTGTTGAGAGGCTGGAGTGCATGCCGGCTCTCCTGATCCGCTGTGAGGACACTGTTAGTTGTGCTGCAAGTTGTGCTGCCCGATTTCAAGGACACTGGTATATTGGACTGGATTACGTATCCGGCTACCCACACAAGAACAGATGTTTTTGGACCCACATGGTGAGATTGTTCCTTTTACCTGCTGTATGAGTGGAGGACTTACCCTACAGCCAATGGATATAGAGTCATTCAGCTACCTGGATGTAGGCTGGACCTGTTGAGTACCAATCAAACGTCCTTTCTGGGAAAGCTCCAGTAATGGTGATGAGGACATAGGAGGATTTGAGCAACTATATGGAAGTGTGTTTATTTCCTTTAGGCATAATTATTGCCCTATTGTTATTCTCCGCAGAGGGAAACACACTCTGTGGCCCAGACATACTTAGCTGGATATACCTTGGTTCCTATCACGTATCAGCACACATCACAGCAGGGTCTTCAGGGAGTTTACATCTGCACAGGAAGGGGGACCTGGAGAGTAGTGGGGGGCTGGCCTTTTGTTACCTGGGTCGCTCATCGGGAGGGGGAGAAAGGGGAGGGGAGTGAGGAGAGTAGGCTGGGTGGGACTCCTGAGGGGGTTGGCACAGGGAGGTATGTTTGTGGGGGTAGGCTGGATGGGGGTGGAGAGGATGTGGGGAGGGGATGGATGGGATACCTGCACTGATTTATGTAATGTTTTTATTGTTATGTCCAGAATAAATATATGCTGTTTATAAGCCTTGAGGTGCTCTATCCTTTTGAGGGGGCTTTCATTCCAGTATTCACACTTACTTTGGTAGAAGATTGTCCTCTAACTTTTATTTGCTAATCGTCTTCGAAGTATCCCATGCCCAAAGCCCTATCATGTTTGAAGACAACCCTAGACTGTTTATGGGAGCCAGAGTGAATGGACTGTTGCTTGGGTGACTGATGGCCTCTGTACTGTTTGGGAAAGAACCGGTTAAATTCAGCGGCCCTTGCAGGCTTTTTTCATGAGCATCTGCATTTGGGAGATTATCTCTCACTTCTGTTGAGGAACGTAGTACAACAGGGTCATAGACAGCTATAAAAGGACTCTTTTAGTAGAGTGGGGAGGGATTAATGCTCTTGGGTTCTATTCCTGTCTGTGTGCCTATTTAGGAAGTTTTCACTGGAACAAGAATTACGGGGGAAATCATTCCAACAGGGACACATATAAAAAAAAAAAAAATTTACAAGGGTTTTAATCCTTCAATAATATACTGAAACTACAGAAAAGATAATTTTGTCTGGTGTTAGGCTTTAAAACTGAAGATTTGGTTGTAGAAAAAAAAAGGCATCTTATACTAAACCCCCCTGACGTTTCCACCAAGGTCATTACAAGGCACTTGCAAGTGGAAGAACACCCTGGGCCATACTGACAACACACTACAGAGATAATATCTTCCAAATGACATGGAAATATCTTAGAGCCTATTGTCAGGCAAAGTTAGAGTGAGCTATTCAGCTAGCTGCCTCTATAAGTACCACTAGTATAAGTGGTTGTAAAATAGGATAATAAATCAGAGGTAAGTCATAGACAATGCACTCTGAAAATTCATTCAATGTGTGCCCATACATGGTTTGAATGTAACACACAAATATGCCTATTCATGTAGACTGTCTATTTAATTTTGGGAACAATGACCCATATGTCCAGTTCAGCATCCAAGGAATTTGCTAATTAATCAGCTGAACACATGACACCTGTTTTCAAGAATGTAGTGAATAATATTCATTTAGATGAAACATAGATAGATCGATAGATAGATTAGATATAGATAGATAGATAGATAGATAGAAAAAAAAAAAAAGAATAGATAAGATAGGTTCAGAAACCTACCTATCTATCATAGAAATCTCAGGCCATCATCATACCATAATATACATAGTGAAAATTTCAAGTGCAATTATTAGTTCCTTTGAAAAAGGAATTTAACTAAAGAACAAAGGACTATACCACTGATTGAAATAAGCCTGTTATAACATATATGGATAAATATGTTTCATTTTCTGAGTATTATTTGTACAAAAAAACTAAATTCCATCCAGAAAGATGTTGAAGAAATCTGCAACATATGACAACGTTTGTAGATCCAGAAAGATGTTGCAGAAATCTGCAACATATGACAACATGTATTATAGTTTGTTTCTCTGCTGGCAATATTTCCTATTAATTTATATCCTTTGATTCCAAAATAACAAAAATGTAGGAAATGGGTCACCAGGACAAGAAGGCACAGACACCAATGAAAACCTTACAGAGAACCTAGCCTTTTCCTACTGTACTAAAAATTGTTTTTGTTGCTGTGTCTACCCTGCTGGAGAAACTTCCAATCACTTCCCATCACAGAGACAGAATGCAAGGGGAGTAGACACATAAATAAATAAAAGCCTTCAAGAGATTCTACCGTTTCTATTCTCCAATTTTGGCTGTAGCTGGTCTATTCATATTTCATATTTCTGATATGTTTCTGCTGCACCATGTACTTGTATAAAACTGTATCCCGTTCTCTTTGTATTGCTTCCTTTGTGTGAAATCTCTGGTGTTCGTGACAGTCCCTCTGTTTTCCTATTAAAAAATTACCACACTAGGCACAAGAGCACAGCATGGCCAGTTCTCTAGCTGTGCTGGGAACTCAGCCTGCTCTCCACCAATAATCAGATTGTCCTGACACCCCTGACATCTTCACTGGAAAGATCAGTGTACCGCTGTTTCTCCTCCCCCAGCTCTTATGCAGTTGATAACAGAGGAAATGTGATCACTTTTAAAAAAGGGGGGAAAGTGTTATCTTTTTTATCTATACACAAATGTTTTACCTTTCATTTCTATTTTGAACTAAATGGGTTGTTTTACAAGGTGGGGGTTTACATATCCTTTAAATTCAAGATGGTATAGAAGGGAGTGCTTTTTTCCAACATACCACTAACATTCTGTCCAGTAATTCTACAGAATGAAACTACCATCTGTTATTTCATAGCCTCCTTTTAACTACAATGGAAGCTTGCATAAAACACTATGCTGCACAGCAGTGTTATGCTGGCCACACACGGTCAGATTTTATTTCACATTAGACCTGACAGATTAACTACATTTACCACCAACTGTGTAGTTATAGGGACAGTTATAGGAAAGACTGAGTAAACTGTCACACTACAAATCTAAAAGCAAATCAGTGTGCGGCCTGTTTTATAGAAATGTCACAAGTCAATTGTTGTACCAGTCTGGGAACTTTTACATACTCTGCTACGAATGCTATAAGGAAATTTCTAGCATTATACACAGAGCACTATTTATAAAGCAGTGAATGTGACAATTACCAAACATTTGCTGCAGGTAACTCTTCCTAGTACATGTTTTTTTAATTAGTGAGAACCTTGTGTAAATATTTGGTGAATGTCACATTCACTGCATTATAAGTATGTACCAGGGGGGACTGACAACTCATGGGGCCCTCGGGCAATAGAAGATCATGGGGCCCCTGTGTCCTTGCCCAAACTCAAAAAAGTCTATGAAAAGGGTACCAGGGGCATCTCATTTGGCCCCCTACTGATCCCGGGCCCTCAGGCAATGCTGAGTTTCCAAATGGTCAGTCCGCCCCGAGTATGCACCATACTATACTTAAAGGCTCCATGCACACTGGGCTTACAAACCCCCCCAAAAAATGAGCATAAGCGTTTTTATACAGGAGTTTAAGTGAGTTTAAGAGCAATCAGTGTTTTTTTTTTTCTGACAGAAAACTGCCCTCAAAAACACAAAACAGAAGGATTTTTTTCTACTTCATAATGCTGAGCTTAAAATATGCCTCTAAACACCCTAATGTGAACGGACACGTAGGAAAATACTGAGCTGCTTCTACAGGTAAAACACTAAGCCCCTCTATGAACAGCTTTGTTTTTAATCCAGTGTATATGGATCCTTATGGGATACAGTTGCAAGAAAAAGTATGTGAACCCCTTGGGATTACGTGGAGTTTTGCATGAATTGGGCATAAAATGTGCTCTGAACGTCATCTAAGTCACAAATAGAAGAACACAGTCTGCTGAACATAATACTACACAAACATTAGATGTTGCCATGGTTTAATTGCACATAACATGTAAACATTCACAGTGCAGGGAGGAAAAAGTATGTGAACCTTTGGACTTAATAACTGCTTGACCCTCCTTTGGCAGCAAGAACCTCAACCAAACATTTCCTGTAATTGCAGATCAGACCTGCACAACGATCTGGAGTAATTTTGGACCACTCCTCTTCACAAAACTGTTTCAGTGTAGCAATATTCTTGGGATGTCTGGTGTGAATCGCTCTCTTAAGGTCATGCCACAGCATTTCAATGGGGTTGAGGTCAGGAATCTGACTGGGCCACTCCAGAAGGCGTATTCTGTACTCTTGCAGCCATTGTTTTGTTGAATTACTTGTATGCTTTGGGTCATTGTCCTGTTGCATCACCCATCCTCTGCGGAGCTTCAGTTGGCGGACAGATGGTCGTACGTTTTCCTGCAAAATGTCTTGATAAACTCTGGAATTCGTTTTCCCATCAATGACAACAATCCGTCCAGGCCCTGAGGCAGCAAAGCAGCCCCAAACCATAATGCTCCCTCCGCCATGTTTCACAGTGGGGATGAGGTTTTGATGTTGGTGTGCTGTGCCTTTTTTTCCCCACACATAGTGTTGTGTGTTCTTCCCAAACAACTCAATCTTGGTTTCATCTGTCCACAGTATATTCTGCCAGTAGTGCTGTGGAACATCCAGGTGCTCTTTTGCAAACTTTAAACATGCTGCAATCTTCTTTTTGGACAGCAATGGCTTCCTCCGTGGTGTCCTCCCATGTACTCCATTCTTGTTTAATGTTTTCCTTATTGTAGATGTGTCAACAAAAATGTTAGCATGTGCCAGAGATTTCTGTAGGTCTTTAGCTGACACTCTGGGATTCTTCTTTACCTCATGCAGCATTCTGCTCTGTGCTCTTGCAGTCATTTTTACAGGACGACCACGCCTAGGGAGAGTAGCAACAGTGCTAAACTTGCTCCATTTGTAGACAGTCTGTCTTACCGTGGACACATGAACATCAAGGCTTTTGGAGATACTTTTGAAACCCTTTCCAGCTTCATGCAAGTCAACAATTCTTGATGGTAGGTCTTCTGAGAGCTCTTTTCTGAGAGGCATGGTTCACATCACACAGTGCATCTTGAAACCAGTAAATCCAAAACAGGTGTGTGTTTTTTAAGGGCAGGACAGCTGTCAGCAACACATCCAATATCATCACACTGATTGGAGTCAAGGTTGGCTCACTCCTGGCTCCAATTAGCTCTGGGAAAAGTCATTAAGCTAGGGCCTCACATACTTTTTCCTCCCTGCACTGTGAATGTTTACATGTTATGTGCAATTAAACCATGGCAACATCTAATGTTTGTGTAGTATTATGTTCAGCAGACTGTGTTCTTCTATTGTTGTGACTTAGATGACATTCAGAGCACATTTTATGCCCAATTCATGCAAAACTCCAAGTAATCCCAAGGGGTTCACATACTTTTTCTTGCAACTGTATAGTGGCTCTTTATCCTGTTACCACATATAACACACATATATATCACAGCTGATGTTTCTGTGCTGAGAGCATGCTCACTGCACACTTGCAGAACAGCGTATGCGCTGTCAAAAACAGCTCTCAGTTACCACTAATGATCTGGTGGGCATGACTCCCAATCATGTGACCCCTGTGACAGTTAATCACACTGGTCACATGATCACTGTTCTAGGCGTTCAGAACATTTTTAAGGCCGGAGCAGGTATTAGGAAATATACAATCAAAGTGTATATTTTTAAAGAACCTCTATATCTCTTAAAAAATTAAGGGGCATATTTATAAAATAAAATAAATTGAAAACTTAAATATCCGCGCTAACGTGATAAATCATATGCAATAAAAAAACTCATATATACAATAAAATACTCATATATACAATCAAAAAAATATATGTTGCTGCTGTTCATAAAGTGAAAACACCTTAAATAATGTAAAAACATTAATACAGCACAAACAAATTATATTAAATGTGACAAAATCCAAAGTCCCAAACAAACAGTGCGTCAGTGCTTCAATCAGGGGCGGACTGACCATTTGGAGACTCGGCACTGTCAGAGGAAGACCCACCCACACTGACAATCATCGGAAAGGCTGTGTGTGAGTGTGGAGGAAGGCAGCTTGTGCGCACTGAGCGATCAACATGCATGAGGATCATGTCTAAGTACTGAGGAAGTGTATTGAATCTGGCGTCTGTTCATCTGAATCCTGGTTATGCCCAAGAACACACTTCACCAGTTTAAGCCTGTTTGAATCTTAAGCCATACAAGCTAGGAGTCCATCAAATTGGTTGAGTGTGGAGTGTATTAGAAGGTGATCGTGGAGCACTGTGGGGTGACACCACTTATAGAACACTTCTTGTTTGGACATAAAAGAACATTTTTTTTATTGAAGCACTGTTCGTTTGGGACTTTGGATTTTGTCTTAATTTTTGTCTATTTTGATTTAATATTTTTTTTTTGCTCTGTATTATTGATTATTCATATTTATAAAATAGTAAATATAATTTGTATACTTCTTTAGGGTTAGTGACACAAAAAGGGTCATTATGACAGCTAGGCAACTAGAATTTTCAGAATAATAAGTCAACAATAGCAGCTTCCATATTTCTTTCAGAGTAAGAATATTTTTAAATAGAACAGCAAGATCTGAAGCTGCACTCCAGACAAACATCTAAATTCACAGGTGTGAATTGTATTGTATATATGCTGTACATAATAAATATATATATATATATACATATATATATATATATATATATATATATATATATATACATATACAGGTGAAACTCGAAAAATTAGAATATTGTGCAAAAGTTAATTTATTTCAGTAATGCAACTTAAACTAATATATGAGATAGACTCATTATATGCAAAGCAAGATAGTTCAAGCCGTGATTTGTCATAATTGTGATGATTATGGCTTACAGCTCATGAAAACCCCAAATCCACAATCTCAGAAAATTAGAATATTGTGAAAAGGTGCAATATTCTAGGCTCAAAGTGTCCCACTCTAATCAGTAATTAAGCCATAACACCTGCAAAGGGTTCCTGAGCCTTTAAATGGTCCCTCAGTCTGGTTCAGTAGGAATCACAATCATGGGAAAGACTGCTGACCTGACAGTTGTGCAGAAAACCATCATTGACACCCTCCATAAGGAGGGAAAGCCTCAAAAGGTAATTGCAAAAGAAGTTGGATCTTCCCAAAGTGCTGTATCAAAGCACATTAATAGAAAGTTATGTGGAAGGGAAAAGTGTGGAAGAAAAAGGTGCACAAGCAGCAGGGATGACCACAGCCTGAAGATGATTGTCAGGAAAAGGCCATTCAAAAGTGTTGGGGACTTTCACAAGGAGTGGACTGAGGCTGGAGTCAGTGCATTAAGAACCACCACACACAGACGGATCCTGGACATGGGCTTCAAATGTCGTATTCCTCTTGTCAAACCGCTCCTGAACAACAAACGTCAGAAGCGTCTTACCTGGGCTATAGAAAAACAGACCTGGTATGTTGCTCAGTGGTCGAAAAGGTCCTCTTTTCTGATGAGAGCAACTTTTGCATCTCATTTGGAAACCAAGGACACAGAGTATGGAGAAAGAATGCAGAGGTACACACTGCAAGATGCTTGAAGTCCAGTGTGAAGTTTCCACAGTCTTTGTTGATTTGGGGAGCCATGTCATCTGCTGGTGTTGGTCCACTGTGCTTCATTAAGTCCAGGGTCAACGCAGCCATCTACCAGGAGATTTTGGAGCACTTCATGCTTCCCTCCACAGATGAGCTTTATGGGGATGCGGACCTGAACCCCATAAAGAATCTATAGGGCATTACCAAGAGAAAGATGAGAGACATGAGACCAAACAGTGCAGAAGAGCTGAAGGTTGCTATTGAAGCATCCTGGTCTTCCAAAACACCTCAGCAGTGCCACAGGCTGATAGCTTCCATGCCACACCGCATTGAGGCAGCAATTGCTGCAAAAGGGGCCCAAACCAAGTACTGAGTACATATGCATGCTTATACTTTTCAGAGGTCCGATATTGTTCTATGTACAATCCTTGTTTTATTGATTGCATGTAATATTCTAATTTTCTGAGATTGTGGATTTGGGATTTTCATGAGCTGTAAGCCATAATCATCACAATTATGACAAATCACGGCTTGAACTATCTTGCTTTGCATGTAATGAGTCTATCTCATATATTAGTTTCACCTTTTAAGTTGCATTACAGAAATAAATGAACTTTTGTACGATATTCTAATTTTTCTAGTTTCACCTGTATGTGTAATTTTGTCCTTTAGGCAGCCCCAAGATTTACACATACCTGTCAGACAGCAGAACCACGTTGGTAACTCAATTTTCTCTACTACAGCCAAGCAATGCAGCTTGGCCACCTTCCTGCTCTCAGCCTGAAATCTGACAGAAACAGCAGCAAAAGGCTAATATGGACATTTTTCTCCTCTTGTCTACATGCTGTTTGTCAGGACATGTGTACATGAGTACTGGTTGGTTAAAAAAAAGTACTAATGCTAAGGCTCCATGTACACTGGAGCAGCAAAAATGTGTATAAATGCTGTACTGAGTTTAGCTGCATTTTTATTCATTCTGTTGGCCAGAGCACTTGCCATTGAAATGAATAAACATGTTTGCACATATTTTTGCCACATTTGGCTTTTTTGACCAAAATGTTCCTCTCCTGAACATGATTCTTCTGTTTAGGGACGTTTACCTTCCCCTAAACTCTGATGTTGCTAAACTTTAATAAAAGCCTATGTGTGAGTTGAGTTCAGGGCAGTGGCGGACTGACCATTTGGAAACTCGGGCACTGCTCGAGGGCCCGGGGTCAGTAGGGGGCCCCATGAGATGTCCCTGGTACCTTTTTCATAGGCTTTTTTGAGTTTGGGCAAGGACACAGGGGCCCCATGATCCCCTATTGCCCGGGGGGCCCGGGCCCCATGAGTTGTCAGTCCGCCCCTGGTTCAGGGGCTTTGGCAAAAAAATGCCAAAAGCTCCTAAACTCAGGTTTAGGAGCAGCAGTGTACATGAGACCTTGAGGCCTTAAGTAAGCTAAACATGGACTGAAATTCAGCCAGTACAGCAGGGACTGACTGAATATCAATGCATGTATGGCACTGTGGTTGTACAGAAGGTGATTTACTAATTAACTTTTTATTACTTTTTATTTACACAGTATATTGTACATTTACATCAGTCCCTAACCCTCACATCAGTCCATAACTTTACAACTGGACTGTCAGATGCTTCCTGCTCGATCAGTGCCACAGACAATAGTCTGCAGTGCTGATCATTGTAGTCTGAGGATGGGAAAGTCTCCCCACTGTCAGGACACAGTGACTCAGTGGGGAGAATTCCCCCATCCACCTCAAATGTGTGGGTGGGAGAATTGGGTCAGTTTGACTAATATATGGGCTGCTTTACTCTTCCAGTCTGAGTTGTATAGGGCTTAGAAGCAAAACACCTTCGGGTACCTATGTTAGTTGCATTTTAAAGTGATAGTAAAGCTTTGTTTTGTTTGGTTTTTTTTTAAAAATAATAAACATATTATACTTACCTGCTCTGTGCAGTGGCTTTGCACAGGGCAGCCCCAATCCTGCTCTTCTGGGGTTCCCCACCGGTGCTCCTGGCTCCTCCTCTTCCGCAAATGCCCTCATAGGAAGACGCTTAATATGGGGGCA